ATGACATTTTCAAAGGGGTTAATGATTATAAAATATTAAGAAACCCTGCTTTAATAGGTACGGTGGCAGTATTTCCATTTACGAACTGTTTCACAGTAAATATACAACGCACACACTCAACATAGCCCCGTACTAGGGAAACCCTGTGTCGCGGGTGCCATGGACACCTACATAGACAACCACAAATTACAACCAAACTCAATATAGAAATAAATGTAGGCCATACAAATATTTCTCCCGGCCCGGGAATCGAACCTGGGACCTCTGCGTGGCAGTCCGGCATGATAACCGTTCGGCCACGGAGGCAGTTAACAGTGAGCTCTACTGACTTTTAAACGAGTCAAATATGACCCGAAAATTGGAATTCCCACCCATATAAAGATACTATAAAATCATAAAAATATTGATAGAGCACACTAGTTATGTTATTCGTTACAAAAACACGTTCTATTATTTCAATCAACCGAGAATAGACCTCTGGCCCTTCCTATCACTCATAGAACTTTATACTCTGTAAACATTCTAGACTGACGCGTGTTGTGATGGATTATAGCCACTTAATTATATTGGGGTATTTCACTAGATACATACAAACTATAGGTAGCCTTATAAAACGGACGTAGATGGCAATATGGGGAAAGGTTAGCACGAAAGGCGTAGCACGACAGGGCGCGACTCTTTTTTAAATTTTTTATTATTTATTTATTATATCAAGTGACGGAACGAACAAGTCGTGTACCTGATGGTAAGCTACACGGCTGTCCATAACAGTTGCAGTGCCATTCAGAGCTTGACATCGCAAAGATCTGAGGGGCACTACCACTGCGCCCGTCACCCTGAGACATAAGTTGGCGTATTTCCCATGTGCCTGTAATTTCACCAGCAGCCTTACCTTTCAAAACCGGAACACAGTAATGCTGAGATTACTGCTTGGCGGCAGAAACACGTAAGGTGGCAGTAATTCCCTGGACGAACTCTTTCACAAGGAGCTCTACCGCTGCTTCTTGTTCAGGAGCGATATAAAGCGCGAGATACAGCTATTCTTCCTTAGAGATCTCACGCTTTATGTCGCTACCTACAGATTATGCTAACGTGCGCGTCCGTACACGGACGTGCACACATACAAGCCGAGCTGCTACGTTTTATGGAGTTACCATATTTATCTTATTATATTTTGCCGTAACCGTCTATAGATTTAAATTCATCAAGATTAGTACTAACAACGTGCAGTTTTATCAATACCATGTGATACACAGGTCAATACATTAATAATTATAACTTTTTTATACAAAAAAAACCTACCTCAAAAATTAGTGGAATTACATTTATTTGCCAATTTTTATTCCTTATTTTTTACTGTACTTAGAGGTGCAATATTTTCTTCAAATTTAAATTGGACCAATACTGAGGTACCCTCTTTCCAACAAAAAAGAATCGTCAAAATCGGTTCACAAATGCTGGAGTAATGACGTAACAAGCACTCAAAGAGATATACTGTCGAATTGAGCCTCACCTCCTTTTTTCAAGTCAGTTAAAACATTTTTTTTTAGTTATTAACTTGGTGATTTTTTTATTAACGTTGTATTATTAGGGAGGTTTTTTTCAAGGCCTGTGAAGACGTTCATCACAACTATCAGTAATTGATCTATTTCTGATCACCAATTACCAATAATAACATTTCAGAGCTAAGATCAACAGTATTAAAGAACTGAAGAATTTTCCTGGCTTTGATCGTTTTTTACAAATCTTACGTCATCGCCAATTGTCATGACATTTTGATAAAAGTCCATATCTTTATCTCGCAATCGCCTTCACAGTCGCGTGTAACCCTTATCCAGGGCAAACAGACATCTGACCAGATTAGAACATTGCTTTTTTTTTCCTTCCAAATTGTCACTCCATTAGTTATGATACCTGTTCTGCCTAGATAGTTCTGTTCTGGATAGATATCCACCTATAGACTCTACGTAAAGCGAACGACATACCGGTAGAATTGCTATTTTTTTTTCGGCTACGTCGAATTTGGAACCACTGTTTTCACTAAACAATTATCTGGTAAACTTTTGGCGATGTTTACAATATGACCTGTTGCTAAGTACTTTAGGCCAGCTGAGCTCTAGGGTTTGTCGCGTCTTCTCCAGGGTACGTTTGCAAAAAGAGGTAGAGGAGAGTTTAAAACCTTCATCTATGATCTGATGTCTGTCTGAAACGGTAACCTATCACAAGGTCGAAAATTTTTGTGTCCGAAATAACGTTTTTCATTACACCGAAAACCGAATTATAACGAAACAGTTGTTCTTTCAGGATATATTGAATGTTTATCGCAAAGACACGATTAGGTTCGGTTAGGTTAAATTAAGTTAGGTTCAAAAGAGAAAACATTATCCTCTCAAAATTACTTTCGAGGTTATGAAATTTCGACCAAACGTTATTTCTGGAAAATGTCATTTCGAACTACTGATAGGTAACTGTCTGAAACGTATGGACTGATCACAAAACTTTCTTTATTAGAAAGCTGGTTTAATCTGGACTTCTGGATTCAAAGATCTTCCAGCTCTTTTCTCAGTTAGTGTAGGGATTTCAACCATACACGGTGTCGTGATTTTTTTTATACACGGATGGCTCTTTGTTGTACCGGATACGCTATATGACTCATTTTCTTGCGTTCTACAAAACTTTTGTTTGCTTTTGTTTGAATTCCTGATTGCGAAGCACGACAACATTATTGTCACATTGCTTGATCAGGATATAATAATATTTTTTCACTACGCCTTTGTAGTGGCCTACTGCATTTCGCCATATCGAGGCAATTCTCAAATCAGAAATCCACCTGTCGTCACTACATCGGTCCGTATCCTATTGGCTCATAGCCAATAAATCACGGACTGTGCACCCGAGTCCTCTTTTATGAAAGCTTGCGTAGTGTCATTCAAAACTTTTCACCATTAATTCAAAGCGAAACATTTTACTCCACGTAGTCATTTTCCTACAGTTTAAAATAAATTGATATTTTAAAATTTCCCAAGATACTGACGATCAAAATATGACTGCTATCACAATAAAAAAACTGCGGCTACCATGCCGGACTGCCAGGCAGAGGTCCCAGGTTCGATTCCTGGGCCGGGAGAAATATTTATATGGCCTCCATTCATTTCTCTCGTGAGTTTGGGTGTAATTTGTGGTTGTCTATGTGTGTGTTCATGGCACCCGCGACACAGGGTTTCCCTAGTGCGGGGATTTGTTGAGTGTGTGCGTCATTATTAAAAAAAAATGTAAATAAAGTCAACAATTGCGCTACCGTATCAGAGGTTAGTCGCATAAGGTAAAAGGTAGCCTAATGGAATTGATATTCTGTTTTTTTTCTGTTTAGTGTTGCTGTTTAAGCGAGGGATAATAAGTCAAAACAGTGTTTAAATGGCAACACTGTGCTAAAAATACAATAACTTTAGTCTGCCTTCTGTATGCATCTTTAAATCACGCTGTTATCGATATACAGGGTTACAGGAAAAGTCGTGCTAGATCCGTTAAGGCGTGGAGTACTCATCATTTCTGACTTATTTTACTATGAAACACCCTACCCTAAACTTAACCCTTTTCGAGATATTTGACTTTTATTTTTTTTATTCAAAATTGCCGATTTTTAGGCTACTAAATTTAATTTTGTTTATTTTGTGTGTCTTATTATTATAATTATTGCATTTTTACATGTGTGATAAGATACTTTAGGACCTCAATCATTAAAATAGTGAATAAGTTTTTATTTCAGATTTAAAATATTAATTGTTATATAATACTAAGGTTTTAAGGTTTTCGTATTGAAAATAATTAAGAATATATATGTCACAACAGAGGATACACACAACATAATAATATGTACCGCTCTCTCAACATCCAGTCGATGATGCAACAGGAACGACTGAAAATCAGCGTCTCTCTCGCCAGAGATAGACTTTTTGCTGAGTCGTCTCCTTTTCCTCTTTTGTGTCACTTTGCATTCTTATTTATAGATTATTTAATAAATAGCTATCAATTTAATGTTATGTTTATAGTTTAGGGATGTAAAGTGACTTAAATGTGCGAATAAACGTTTTTCTTTCTTTCTTTCTTTCTTTCTAAGTTAATTCAATACGCCGTAGTAGAAAAGAGAAAGTTAAGAAATTAAAAAAAAAAATTGTTTGTGTTTCATAGTAAAATAAGTCAGAAATGATGAGTACTCCACGCCCTTAACGGATCTAGCACGACTTTTCCTGTAACCCTGTATACGAAAAATGCTTGTTTAGCTTTTATTATTTGCCAAAATTTCATCTGAAAAATAAGCAATCTGATTTACCGATAATCAAATCTGTTCTAGTAATTTCCTCCACACGTCCCCTAAAATATATTCAACATTTCTGAATATCAGACGGTCGTTAAATCCTTTTACAATCACGCTTACGATCCATCGGTCTGTGGGATATGATCGCGAATTTATTATGAGCTATTTTTCCTAGGCGATAGTAGCTGCCACGCAAATATGTACCGTATCGTAGAAATTGTATTTTTAAAAATGCGCCATAGAACAAAACACCGTCATTTTTTTCTTCCGTAACCACCGACGCCAAACAGTCTTTTTCGCTCTTATTACATCATAGTAAACCTTTTTCTGCTCGGCTTCCGAAATCCCTTAATCATAATATTTGCCAAGTAAACAAGATTACGCGACTATATAATCTAACGTAATCCGAGCCTGTTGTAATAAAGTTAAAATCGAGAAACGCTCAATGAATTTATTGTTAGAAAGAAATGATTTTGATTAAAACGAACCTGGCAAAAGTAATACTCGAGAAAAGCTTCATACTTATTTGACAGTAATTATTTCGGATGAATGTCGTACGGAGAACGTAACTTGAACCACCGTATTCTACTTTTCGAAGAAAATTGCCTGTAGAGTCACCAACCGTTCCATTCAAAATATTAAATATGACATTCGTGACGTCTCATTTGTCCTTCTATTGTTACAGATTCTATGACGAGTGCAAACGGAGGTACAACATCAAGTTATGGAAAACTTTCACAGACTGTTTCAACTGCTTACCGGTAGCCGCGATAGGTGAGTACTTATTACATAAATTGCAAATGTTAAAATGCCAACACACTACGACATCGAAGCGATATTACCACTTCGTAACCATAGCATTGTAGCGGACTGTATAAATGGGATTCGAGTGCTAATGAAGAGTGAGCAAGACAAGACCAAAGGAAATGTACTTACTGTTTATTAAAACTCTTTGTTTTAGTACATTTAAATATAGAACTTCAATCTAAAAGTACACTGCTAAAAAGACTATTTACAAATGCTGCGATTCGTTACAACCATTCTTTGAATACAAATATTTAAAAAACATATTACATTTCTTTAACAGAATATTTTAAAATATTAAGTTTCCAAATTCAGAAGTGTCTTACCGTGCGTACAACGGATGATCCGTTAGCTCAGAAAAGGTAATAGACCTATATCACGCCGTAAAAGGCGTACTAGGACGTCTTGAGAAAGCTTGACTTGTTTCACTGTGTTTACTGTAGCAAAACGATAGGTACTTTGTAACGAATGAAATTTTCGTAACGTTGAAATGAAAAATCGGGACTGTCCTGGGTTGGACACAAGCACCCTATCCTTGTATTTAAATAGCCATGTGTTAATTGAGGATGTTTAAAGTGCCTTAGGTTATGTACATTAGCGTTAGCGTACATCGAGTCCATGTTCGGGTATGTCGAAATAAAATAGGTGTTTTTTAAAAATTTATGCAACGACCCGTTTCATGGTCCGTTTCATTAGTTACTCGCTTAAGCGTTAAATGCGTTAAAAGCGATAATTCCACCTCCGAACACGTGAGCAAATTCCTTTCACAGACCATCAATCTCTTCATAGTGAACGTGCATTATGATAACATTGTTTTAAATTATCCTTTATTCCGTCTCATTACAGAAGACTTAGAATTTATTGTCCAACAAAGCAGGCATGAGACGACATGTTTCAACAGCCAATGGAATATCGAATACCTGATTTCAAAATAATGATATCCCATTGCTTGTTCGACGACAATCTCTTCTCCTCGTCAAAAGTATCGTTGGTCCTGTGGATATCGTTGATACATTTTAATAATTTTATAATTTTACCAAGTACATTCAATTGTTATTGTCCCGTGAAAGTTGCGATCGGGTAAAACCGACTAAAAGGGATATACACAAGACATAGGCTGCAAGCAGCTTCTAAAGATCGCTGACCGCTGCTGAGATCACCGACCGCTCCTAAGTGTTGCGATTACGGCAAACTTTCCTTTTCCGAACACTCCTATCGTTCGTAATAGTCAACGTAT